GGGGGTGTGTGGGTGGGGGGGGGGGGAAGGGGCTGGTGGCTGCCCCACTGCTCCTGTTCACTGCTATAAGGAAGCTGGGGGGGGAGTGGGGGAGTCACTTCTACTGCTCCTTTCCCCTGGCTTCTTCCCGTGGGCTGCAGGCACCAATGTGTGCCAGGGACTGCACATGCGCTGCCTGGCGGGAGGGGGCAGCAGGACAGGTGCAGATGCATCAGAAGCCCAGTTAGGAGCATGCCTGCAGGGCATGGGAGGAGGCAGGCCGCCAGAGCGCACCACAAGCTGTGCCACGCACCTCCACCTGCAGTGGAGTGCCCTAGCCCACTGCCTTACTGGCACCTAAGGCTGTGCGGCTGTTGTCTTCTTACACCAGGGAGAGGGGATCTCCCAGCGTCCCAGCTGCACAAAATGCAGGACAATGTAGCACTTTAAAGACTAACAAGATGGTTTATTAGATGATGAGCTTTCGTGGGCCAGACCCACTTCCTCAGACACTCATTTATCATGTAAGTGAGGAACACGGGCTACTAATTTAAAAAAATCAGATCCTCAGTAGTATTAATTGAGGAGATACTTTGCTGAATGAGATGTTCCAGATTTGATCTGAGGAAGTGGGTCTGGCCCACGAAAGCTCATCATCTAATAAACCATCTTGTTAGTCTTTAAAGTGCTACATTGTCCTGCATTTTGCTTCAGCTACCCCAGACTAACATGGCTACATCTCTGTCACCATCTGCACAGGATGATAATACACCACCCAAAGAGGCGGGACCTAGGTCTACAGACGAATTCTTCCATCAGCCCAACATGCCTACACTAGGGGTTAGGTCGGGATAGATACATCGCTCAGGGCTGTGGATTTTTCACATCCCTGAGTGACACAGCTAGGCCAACCTACATTTTTAGTGCAGATCCGGGCTAAGAGTTTGAATTTTCTGTGCGGCATGAGGCTGAGGTAGATAATTGGGGAGGGAGAGCTAGGACATTGGGAGCTGAGCCATCAGTCGTTGGGGTAGCTGGGATGGAGAAATGGCTGGTAAGAAAAGGGGCAATTGGAAACGGGGGTGACAGCTGGGAGCCACAGATGGGGTTAGGACTGTCTGAGTTGGGGCAGCGGGGATGGTGACAGTTGGGCTATGTCTACACTTGGG